ATGTCTTCATTTACTGAATACATTGTTACGCCAAGGTCATGTAAACTGTTATCTATGTTGTCTATGATCCAATCTATCTATCTATCTATCTATCTATCTATCTATCTATCTATCTATCTATCTATCTATCTATCTGTTTGGTTTCTCATAGTACACAAGGACTCCATAGAAATTTCCTCCTTTGGCCTATCTGCAGCTGCTTCTTGGGGACCCTGCCAATATCGCCAGCTCATTGCTTCCCTCTTCTTATCCACAATCCTTGACCGTGTCATTCCCTACTCATTTTTCCATAAGGGGCCCATGTCAGTGCCCAGGTTAGTTGCAGTTGTTGTTTAGGTCTTATTTCAAAGGTTGACTGATGAACTTCCATCATCTTCTCCGTACCACTAAAGGTTTCTACGGAGGCATGCTGGAGCATTTCCGCCATTTTCAGACTGTATTTCCATCTAATTATGAGTATACTACTTAAAATGTTATAAAACAGGTCAGTAAGCTTGTCATCTCCCTGATTAATTTTCCAGGCCTTACAGCCACATAAAGGGTCTCATGTAGCTTGATCCTGGTGTTCTGTTTATCTTGGTTGCATTACCCACCTGCTTCAACCAGTGTGTATATATGGATCTTTCTTTCTTTTACCATGAAGCCCTGAACTCTTTATTAATTTGAAAGGTCTCTTGAATTAGATTTAATTATAAAAAAACAGGTTAGATTTATTTCGGAAGAGGAAGAGGATGTTTGTTTTTGTTTTTTTTTAATAGGTAAAAGGTTAGAAGGTAGCAAACATTTTATGGAATTGATTGAGAGCAGACGATGGCGTTGCTGGGAAAAATAAGGCGAGGGAAATAAAAAGTCAGTCTGTCGAGCAGGAGTTAAAGTTGAAGCAACAATTAGTCGCCAACAAGGGAAGCCAATTTCTTTTCTGTTGCTACATTACATTTACACGTCCACCCAGATTTATTGCATAGAAGATAATTAAAAAAATAGAAAAAAATATTTTCGAAGATTTATAAAAAAAAATACGTAATTTTTTAAAGTTTTTTCCTCGACATTATTTCTTATTATAATAAAAACTTTTAAGTACGAAACTGAAGCTAGCAGTTATAGATTTGTAGATGTCTTAACAGTTTATGTTGTTATTCGTTTAACTGATTAAAAAAAAGACAGGGATAACAACTCAAACATATATACTCACTTAAAATAACGTTTATACTAATAAGAAATAATGTCGGATAAAAAAAAACTCCTTTTAGAAATTAATGTTGGTTACTTTTCGGGTACGAAACTAAAGTTAGCAGTTATAGATTCGTCGAAATCCCAGCGGAAAAAAAATGTTTCCACAACTGACAATTTTGACTTTGTTCGTCTGGTTCCGCGGTCGATAAGCAAACTTTTGCTCCAGAATGTAGAATAGAACAGGCGACTGTATCATATGGAGGGACGTCCGTAAGAAGAACACCGGTTGTGCATTCATGGAATGGACTAACCAGTTCACTTGCAAGACGTGGAAGACGTGTGAACAACGTAAATATAAACAAAGCTATCTGAAACCGTAATCTGCAACTTGGCGACCACTCTGCCTTAAGGCGGAAAGGAACCCAAACAAGGCTATGCCGTATGGACAGACACTCGTCTGGGAAGGTAAACATCTACCCGACCCCGTGTATACGGAGTCTACGGACAATTTTTGCCTGAGCCTACGAGCTCAGAATCGACCCACGTAAAAAACCGCCCTTGTGCTACATCCCGCGTTTGTGGGGAGGTCTGGATAAATACGTAGACAGATTACAATCGTAATCTGCAGCTTGTTGACCTCTATGCCCGAAAGCAGAGAGGAACCAAGACGAGGCTATGCCGAAGGGCACAGTCTCGTCTGGGGAGGAAGAGAAACCCAACCCCGTGTATATGAGGTCTTCTGGGAATTTTTACCCGAGACTACGGTCTTGGATTCGCTCCACATAAAAATCGGCCTTATGCCACATCCTGCCTTGTGCGGAGTTTGGTAAATACCAGACAGATTACAACCATAATCTTCAACTTGTCGACCTGTCTTCCTTCAGGCGGAGAGGAGCCGCAACGAGGCTATGCCGAAGGGCAATTTTTGCCTGAGCCCATGGGCTCGGAATTGCCCCACGTAAAAAACCGGGCTTGTGCCGCATCCTGTTTTTGTGGGCAGGTCTGGGTAAATACCCAGATTACAACGGTAATCTGCAACTTTACGACCTCTCTGCCTTCAAGCAGAGACGAACCCAAACGAGGCCATGCCGTATGGGCAGAGACTCGCCTGGGAACGTAGACAGCTACCCAACCCCGTGTATACGGAGTCTACGGACAATTTTTGCCTGAGCCTACGGGCTCGGAATCGCCCCACATAAAAAACCGACCTTGTGCCACATTCCGACTTTGTGATGAGGTCTGAATAAATACCGAGACAGATTACAACTGATACTCAAGCAAACTACAAAGAAGTGGTTTCTCTGAGGTAAAAAACGGATGCAGGTTCGATTCTTGTCGAAGACACAATTTTTCTATTGTAGGACTTCTCAATTTAAAGATGTTGTTGCTAATTTCACTGTTTTAAAAAAAATAATACTGATAGCAAGCCAAACACATGTAACCAATAAAATTAACGTTTATAAAAAAATAATCATAATGTATGTAAAAGTTTAATTATTAAAAAAAAATTAATTAAATCGTACCAAAAATCTATCTTTGTTCATCTGGTCAGATTTTGTGCAAGTGAGCGGCCCGAGAAGATTTGTGTATGCAATAAATACATTTAAGTTTTATCAGTTAACTGATTGCTGTATTAAATTCACTTGGTTCTTTTATCGAAACAAGTGCCGGAAAGAATTATCTTCAATTAATTTCAAAGTTCTCTTTTGTCTATCAGAACTTCTCAAGTGTTATCTCAAAGTGACCTGAACAATGCACAACTGGCTGATATTTTTAGTCGGTCAGGCAATCAGTGAGACAAATCACAGAGGAAATGTTTTCTATGATCAAAGTATGATATTGGTTAAAATTATAGCCGAAAGCGCTCCGGCCTTCAAAACATTTGGATAATTTCTATATAATTTACGCCCAGAAAAAAAAATAAGGACACATGAAAAATTAAATAAAATCTTAACCACTATATCTTGCAGTCGTTTTTAATGAAAATTGTATAAAAGAGGATTGCTGCTGAAATATACTATATATATATATATATATATATATATATATATATATATATATATATATATATATATATATATATATATATATATATATATATTATATATTATTATATTATTATTATACTAATAGTAGTACTCAGTTGGTAAAAAAACCTCGGATAGCACAACTTGCAAGTATATCAAAACAAATTGGCACCCGAGGAAAAAATTTGGAAACCCCCCCAAAAAAAACTAGAAACATCCGAACAGGACGAAACAAATCGTCCAGTGCTTTAAGATATTGGTTCAAATATATATATATATATATATATACTTATATAAATAAATACAATGTAGGACAGAGTCTTTTATATATATATATATATATATATATATATATATATATATATATATATATATATATATATATATATATATATATACGTATATTTCGGCAGCATATTTTCATTGAGACATGTTTCGTTGAATAATTTAGACATGTTCTGTCTACTTATTTTCAATTTTTTTATATGTCAAGAACAGTATATATATATATAGTTCAAGTTTTTACTGGATGCTGGACTCATGTCCAATTCAGAGTTGTTGAACTCATGTCTAATTCAGAGTTGTCCTTCTTACAGACTTGATGCCAACGAAGTCTGCTTTACATTTTAACCCGAACATAGAAGTTGGGAAAATATAGATATATTTCTTTTACCAAGATTATTTGCCCGAAAGTGAATATAACAACATTGACTTGAATTCGAACTCTGATCGATCCACTGACAATTACATCATCTGGGCATTTTTTTTATAAAACTCCCTTTTCGGACTGATCTTTGTTTCAAATTAACAATTCAATCTTCATATAACCCTAATTTAATGTCATAAGTTTAATATCCGGGTTAATTTTATAAAACCTCTTCCATTGAAGGCTAATAACTTCAATTGCCTTTTTACCACAGACTAGGGCATTTCGTCTGACTAAAACATTGAAATGAATAAATTCTGTATCAATTTTTCGACGGCTGTCAAAGTTAAATTTCTAATTCCAACACGAACACAGTCTATACACCGGGGTTGAATAAGACTGACGAAGTTTTCGTCGGTTGAAATAGATCTCTACTACACTCCGTATAAGGTAATTTTGGATTTTGTTGTGTAATTTATATGCTCTGTTGTAAAAAATATATTGAGCTTTTTTTGTGGATCAGTTTAAATATTTATTATTACTAGGATCCACTTGTATTATATACCAACGGATTTATTACCAGTACCATATATATATATATATATATATATATATATATTGGGTGACAAAAATATTTTTCTGTATGTTTTCCATGTTTTTATTTAGTTCATTTGTGAGACCGCAACAAAGTTTGAAAATTAGTGCTTAATAAGGATATATATATATATATATATATATATATAATTATTAATAATAATAATGAACTCTCCCGTCGGTTGCGACGTATGAGGATCTGATAGCTTATTGATTCAGTTATGAAATATTGTGCGATAATCTTAAGTGGCATTTAAGACCCGCTAGTGATTTACAAAGGAGGCCACATATGGAGCAAGTGTGAGGATTGTGAGATGAGATCACTGTTAGATTGGCTGATGTTTTAGATATGGCTCTCGCTTCTTGAAGATGATTCAGACACTAAAACACGTTGATCTCCATTCTACCCGCTCAAGGGTGTTATGTGGTATATTGATTGCTGACAAGTTGCTTTTCAGCTTGTCTTTGTATCTTAGCCATGGGCGTCCTACATTCCTGTAGCCCTGATCTAATTGGCTGTACATTAGGATCTTGGGTATCCTGTCATCAGACATTCTCAAGACATGACCGGTTTAACAGGTGTAATATTGGAGGAATCGAGACTTTTATCATACAGTCTCAGTTACGGTCACCGTAACTGAGAGACTGTATGATAAAAGTCTCTATATATATATATATATATATATATATATATATATATATATATATATGAAAATTTCTCCGATTTAATCGGTAGAGAAGACAATATTTATGAATAAAAAACAATAGGAAAACTGGTAATTGCTGACGCGTTTCGTCCAATGTGGAGTTTATCAAAGCAAAATACGAAAAAAAATTTTTTTTCGTATTTTGCTTTGATAAAGTCCACATTGGACGAAAAGCAATTACCAGTTTTCCTATTGTCATTTTTATTCATATATATATATATATATATATATATATATATATATATATATATACACATACATACATACATATATATATATATATATATATATATATATATATATATATATATATATATATACATGATTATGTCATGTGCTCACAATTTTTTGTTTACGTTTACTTATGTTGTCATTGATTGATGTAGATGTCTATCAAATGTGCCTTTACTCCCCGAAAAAAATCCCCTTTTCGGAAGATAAAACGGGGTTTATTTCAAACCACTTGCTGTTTAAATGAGCGTTGGATTTACAGCGGCCGATAAACTTTTCCACGGTTCAATGAAAAAACGTTTCCCTCTCATTTCAAAAAAATTTCTTTCTTATATTGAAATAATTAATCAAAGTCGATGGTGGAGTTTGACTGTTCGTCTTTTGAATTAGCAAACAAAACATCAACTAACATTAGATTGACCGGAAAATAATCTCGCTTTTTGTTTTAGGGGTGAGAAAAAAAAGTTTCTCGTAAAAAAAAAACTTTAGTTTATTTGTCAAGCGTATAATAATCGTTGTAAGAAAAGCCCATATCATTTTCAAAAGCCCTTCGTAATTTAAAGGACCATTGCGATGTTATGAATACCATGAACCGAACATGTAAGCAAAGACGAAGTTCTAGCGACAATGGCAATAAGAAAGAAAACATACTTAGAATCAAGGAGAGATAGTTGAAATTGCTGGAGTACATAAAGAGGAAAGACGGCTTGGAAAATTTGATACTCACATGACATATTGAGAGATAAGAGAGACAGGTAAGCAACGTATAATATAAATCATAAAAATATAACCTAACCTGAGAATTTCTCACCAGATGGGTAAAAATTATTTTTAAGATATCTCTCTCTCTCTCTCTCTCTCTATATATATATATATATATATATATATATATATATATATATATATATATATATAGTAAAAGGTTATAATACTCATTGATAATACAAATATTATTGTCTCATCCACATGTAAATAAGCAAAAAAAAAATGGAAGCATTATTAATAAAAAAGGAAAAAGCCAACATTGAATAATATCAGCTATGAACACGACCATAATGTGCTGACCGTGTTTGAAAAATAAAACATTGTTATAACTCTAGATACATACATAAAACTATCCATACATTCAGTTAAAAGTAAAAATAGGATCATCCTCGATAATGGGTAAAAGTACAGTCGAAAGCACTCGGACATGAAAAACGGTCGGACAGTTTCTATATAATTTACATCCAGAAAAAAAGAAAGTTATAAGAAAACATGAAAAATTAAATAAAGTTAAACACATTATCTTGTTAGTCGTTTTTAATGAAACTTCTATAAAAGAGGGATTACTGTCCAAATACACAATATATATATATATATATATATATATGTGTGTGTGTGTGTGTGTGTGTGTGTGTGTGTGGTGCAGGTTATAAATTCGTTGGTATATAATTCAAGTGAATCCTAGTAATACAAAATATTAAAACTGGTCCAGAAAAAGAGCTCAATGTATTTATTATTACAGAGTAAATAATTGGTACACAGTAAAATCCCAAATTATCTCATATGCTGAATAGGCTTATTTCAACCGACGAAAAATTCGTCAGTCTTATTCAACCCCGGTATAGACTGAGTTCGCGTCGGAATTAGAAATTTAACTGTGACAGCTTAAAAAAATACGGTCGTGAAACTAATACAGAATTTATCCTTTTCAATCTTTCAGTCAGACGAAAGGCACGAGACAGTGGTGAGGGGAGTGTTTAGAATATATATATATATATATATATATATATATATATATATATATATATATATATATATCGATTATAGGTGCAGTTCAATTTATAATTACATGAATCATTCATACAAAAAACAAATATAGAGGTTAATGTACCCTATTGAAATTATTTGCGAAGATGTATTCTCGCCATTTAAATCATTAACCTCTATATTTGTTTTTTTGTATGAATGATTCATGTAATTATATATATATAAATATATATATATATATGTATATTCTGAACACTGCAATGTAGTTTATGTATATGAATCATTTATCAAGGATTTATCAGATAAAGCGCTTGCAATGGAGATACGCTTACACTGGAGAGAACTCTCAAAATCTACAAGACGGCATCTGTGAACATAAAGGAACCTACGTTTGGACAAACATTTAAACTTACGTTTAATACGCAAGAACAAGACTGGTCATAAATTTGATTTTATAAATGCAACCGTAATTTAAAAAGAACAATTCTATAAGTGGAAAATACTTCCAGAATTTCCTGATAAAAATTTTAATACCTATAAATACACGTCAAAAACACTATATTACATACCCAACCTTTATTGAATCGATTATTAAAGAATCTAACGTATACTTAGTTACCACGACCGCTGTTGACGTAAAAACTTCTTCAAATAAACCTCCAAACATAAAAATTGGCTACTAGACACACACTCAAACATACATATATACATTACTAGCAGTAGAGCCCGGCGTTGCCCGGGGATATAACAGTAAGAGATAGATCAAGTATCGACCATCATAAAGACTGAAAAATAAAATTGACAAAGATTATTGTTTAAGGTTGACGGACACGCATGTCTTAATTAGTTTTTTTTTTGTTTTTTTTGTTTTTGTCAAACCCAAACTCAAACAAAATCATTGTTTTCAATTGTTATGAGTCTATCGATTGAATAGAATTTTATTATAAGCAATTGTCTTGTAAATGAAATTTTTAAAGCATTCTGAATATAAAAATAAAGAATAAAGTGTGCAAGAGAATAAGAAACACTACCTGCCAAAAAAAAAGTGAAGTTTTGTAGAAATCGGTTGAAAGATGTAGGAAATCCGATCCCATATATAAACGAACACACACACACAACCTGGGTATAAGTATAAATCGATATGAGCTATCCCCCTTTCATTCTCGTGACACCTCTTAATCGTGTTTTCAAATTGATTTCGTGCAAAAACTATTGTGTTTTTCCAATTTTTGGCACTGTCAGAACCACCGCAAGGTAATTTTACATAGTCCTGTGAAGTTTTGTTGAAATCGGTTGAAAAATGTAGGAAATCCAATCCAATATATAAACGTACACAGACACAGACACACACACACACACACAATCTGCGTTTTATAATAAGTAAGATGATAGGAATCTAACATAGAGAAAATAGAATTACAATACACTTACACACATAAATTATACACACGAACACTGCTTGACTAGACAAATGCACGTGGAATTTGTTTAAATAATGGAGATGAAACAATACCGAAATAACAATTCCAGAACATTCTTCTCTACCTTATGCTCTGATGAAGCTTTAATAAAAGCAAAACATGTTAGATTTATAAACGTTTCCTATTTATTTTTTAGGCTATCAATCTATCTATTTATCTGAAACTTTTCATATCATTCTATTATTTTATTAATTATTTTTTCATACCTTTCTCGCTTAGCCTGTTCATATCTATCTCAATTTGTTTTCTATCTATCTATCTATCTATCTATCTATCTATCTATCTATCTATCTATCTATCTATCTGTTGTGGTGTCCTCCCTATTCCGCATATTATAAGATTAGTAGGAGAGAAGGTCTTGGAGGAACATTGAAATAGATTGAACGCTGGGTCATCCGACACACACACACACACACACTAGTCGTGTCATACTCTTCTTTTGTACTTACTGTTTAATATATGATATATCTGCAACGCTTGTTTTGTTATTTCTTTAACCATTTATTTGGTCAAAACACTATCTCATTCAATCTATCTATCTATCTATCTATCTAAATCTTTTCATATCATTCTATCTACTTCTCTGTCTAATTTTTCATACCATTCTCTCTTAGCCTGTACATATCTATCTATCTATCTATCTATCTATCTATCTATCTATCTATCTAATTCAGTCTATCTCATTCAATCTATCTATATCTATATCTCTATCTAAATCTTTTCATATCATTCTATCTACTTATTTCTCTTATTTTTCATACCTTTCTCTCTTAGCCTGTACATATCTATCACTATTTGTTTTCTATCTATCTATCTATCTATCTATCTATCTATCTATCTATCTATCTATCTATCTGTGTCATTTTGTTCATATATTTCTGTTGTGTGTTTTTTTCATATCTTTCTATCCATCTCGACATCTATGACTGTCTATGTCTGTTTTAATACTTACACATATGTTTTGGGTAATTATATTTTTCCAAGATTGACAGGCAACTGAGTTGAATACATTCTTACAAATGAAGAGACAAGTGGCGGATTGTCTTGAAGAAATCTTTGCTTTGCTGTAGATGTTAGTTTTCCCATCATCTCATTTGTCATTTTAATCTCTTTCTTCTAACCCGCTCCCCAAACTTAGTAAATTGCGAAAAGATACTACTTGGCCTCGAAGGCAAAAATAAGAAAAAATCAGTTTGCCGAAATACTAAACTCTCCTTAGTCTGGCACAAGGTTATATGAGGGCGAGAACTCGGAGACAAGGGAGATACTTTTTTTTATATTTTTTAATCATTTCGCCCTCAAGCAAGGTGGTAATGTCATTAGAATGCATGGGGTTACAGGGACTGAAAGTAAAAGAAATTAAGAATAGGAAGGATTGAGAAAAGGAAAAAAATTAAACAGGCTTCAAGAAGATAGAAGACGGCGTCTGACTTTGCATTTAAATTTAAAGGAGTTCTACATTATATATATATATATATATATATATATATATATATATATATATATATATTATGAAATCGACAAAGTCCCACAATTATTTTTAAGACATTTTTATGTTTATACATTCTTTTTTATAGATACAAATATTTAAGTAAATGCTCTGTTTATAATAAACAGTATTAATAATACTTACCGGCCTGAATGTCCAAGAAATTGCGTCCTCCGACAGGAATCGAACCTGTATCCTATACGGAACCGTCATATAGCATGACGTACCTCAACCGTTACAGAGGAGCGTTCGGTTAGCAAGGTCGATTTTACTGTCTTTTATAATGTTTGACGTCATTTGTTTACATTTGGATACGCTTTGAGCAGATATGAATGTACGTGAGAGAATCATGAAAGATTATTGTGTAAAGACAGTATATGTGTATGAATTTCTGGGTATTATACACCTAATCTTTTCAGGAACCATTTTCTTCAAGAATAAATGACACAGTGGATAAAGGCGTCAGTTAGATCCAGTGAGAGGACCCAAAACAGTGTGAGTTCAATACCCGGTTAAGGCAGTGGATAACTTGGAGAGGAGAATTAATAGGAGATATCTGATAACTGACATCCATTAAACATGGCATGTGGAACTAGAACAGTCTACCCCAGTGAGCGAAATAAAGGGTTCAGTTCGATATTCCAACCACCTGAAGAAGGCCGGAGCGTACAACGTCCGTAACGTTGTAATAAATATGGCGACAAAGATGAGGACAATAGTCCGAATGATATCAATAAAGTCGGACTTGTATGTGGATTAATCGTTGATATCGCCAAAACATTGTGAATACAATGTTCACTGGCAAGAAAAGAATTATTCTTACAATCCATAATATATTTATGCCAAGCTGCACTCAAGGTGAAACACATGTTTATTTGGACGTACTCACTTCGCCCTTGTAAGACTTCAATACTACAAGGAAAGCAATACGAGAAAATGATATTCTAAAATAATGAAATCGTCAACTGCCTTAAAGAATAGAGGTTTATACCAAAACATACGTAACCTACATCAACAATCTATATATCTATAAAATGTACATTTATCCCGAAAGTATTAATCAGTCAGTTTGTTTCCATAAACGCTGAGGCGACCATATATCTTTCAATACATGACCGAGGAAGCAAATTTGTTCCCGTGGTAGACCAGTTACTATCCAAGGCTATAGAACTAGGCCACTGACGAGGCAGATTTGTTCATGTGGTAGGCCAGTTACTATCCAAGTCTATAGAACCAGACCAGCTCTGCTATTTACCCATAGCTGGGGGAGAAGAAGAGGATTCATACCTTTCCCAAGGGTATTAGCACGTAAGTGAATGTAATGGATTCGACTGGAATTCGAACTCGGCTCTCCGATTCTTCAATCAGTGCCGTTATCTATTACTCCACCGTGCCGCCTGAAGACATGCAATTATGTAATAAGTATTTAGTTGAACGTATATAATTGTGTTCAAAATATATTTAGTTGAAGCCATAAAATTGTGTACAAAATATTTAGATTTCGTCATTAAATAACCCACTGAGGCTGATATGTGGCTAAACAGAATTAACCAAATCAATCAAGAAAATATATTTAGGTTTTAAATAAAAGACTTTATTAGTGGTAGAAACAGATCAGTCAATCAATCGATGAATTGTAAATACTTTGCCTTTTGACATTGCAGATACGTGGCCTTATAACAGCAAATACAATACCTGGCAATGTTGCAAATACATTGCCTTGTAACGTTGCGAATACACACACTTGTAGCGTTGCAAATACGTTGTTTTATAACATGGAAAATACATTGACTTGTAACGTTGAAAATACGTTCACTTATAACGTTGCAAATACGTTGTCTTATAACTTTGAAAATGCATTGCCTTGTAACGTTGCAAATATGTTGCCTTGTAAGGTCACACTAACAGAAATGCATATCAAATTCTACGAAAATATTAAAACATTCCTTTGTCATCTAAAGTAATGATTCCCAATTTAACAAAAAGTTACGGAAATAAATTTCAGACCTTCTATGCAGATTGTTAATTTGTAAAGAAAGGAGATGGATTTTTTTATTTATTAATCAGACAGCTTTTTATTACGTAAACACTTTTTATTACTTAAACTTTTTATTCACTAAAAATAACATTTAAGTAATACCTATTAAGGGATGAATCAGTATTGACTTTTTCAGATACGACACTTCGCAAAGTTACCAAGTCGTTCTGACAAGGTGAAGGATAAGCGGTTAGTTTGGGGTCTGGAAAATAGTTGTTGAGGGTCGGAGGTGCACTACATTTACTGCAGTATCAGTAGAAGTGGTATTTCTTGAGCAAGATAGTGTGGCCAGTTTTTGGATCCAGAGTTGCCTTCTCCTAGATCGGTTGCCATCCAAGGCTATAGAAACCAGTTTGTCCTGCTATTTACCTATATGAGAAAATGATTATTACCTTTTCCAAGGTTATTAGCACGTAAGTAAATGTAATGGATACGACCGGAATTCGAACTCGGCTCTCCGATTCCTCAATCCGAGCCGTTATCCATTACTCCATCTGTGTACCTGCCTTAAAAATCAGCATTCCTGATTTTCATTCGAACTCCAATGAGAAAACTCAAATCTGTCAGATCGTTTGCAAATTTTGACTTGCATCCACGATTCTAGGAATTTGCATTTGAGATGGAAATTACTGATTAACGGACGACATTAGGTGATTTTTTTCATATTTTCTTTCTTTTACGTCTACGTTTTCCTCTCTGCTTTTTGTTTGTCATCACTTCTTTTTTTCTTACATGTTTTTTCTTCTCTTTCATTTTCTATTCCTTTTCTTCATCTTCTTCTCGTCTTCCACTCTCCTCCTCTTTCTCCATTCCTTTTCTTCATCTTCTTTATTCGTTTTCTCATTTGGACCTCTTTTTCTTTCCTTTCCTTTTCTTCTTTCCCTGACCCTCTTTCTTCCTCTTCTATTTCTTCTCGTTCTTCTTCTCGTCCTCTCTCTTCCGTTTCTCCTCTTCTTCCCTCTCCATTTTCCCTCTCTTCTTTACACGACGGTTCTTCTCTTTCTCTATTGAATTTGTTCTTGTTGTCCTCCTTTATCCTCCTCAACCTTCTCTATCCTTTTTCTTCCCCCCTCTCTCTCTTCTACTCCTCTTCTCACTATTCTTCTCTCTCTCTTCTTTTTTCCTTATCCTCTCGCCCTGCTTTGCGTTTTTCATCTCCTCCTTATCATCGGTATACCCCTCTTCCTCATTCTTTTCTTTTTTTTTTCTCTTCCTTCTCGCTTTTACTTTTCTCTGTCTTCTTTCTTCCTTCTGCTCTTTCCTATTTGTCTTCTTCTTCGTTTCGCCAACCGCCCTTTTTTTTTGTATGTTTCCGTTCCTCATCCCCCTTCTCGTCCGCTTAATACTTTTCCTTCTCTTCTCCTTTCTTTTTTTCTCTTTCTTTCCACTTTTCCTTGTTTCTTCTTCTTCTTCTTCTTCTTCTTCTTCTTCTTCTTCTTCTTCTTCTTCTTCTTCTTCTTTCAAATTTTAATTAGAAAGGACATCGTCATTCCTCTGTCATATACGCGCACAAAATCCCCCTGACTGTGTCAAGGGAGTGGGCCCGTCGTACCTGACACTAATTGCAACCGGAAAAATCGCCGACCAGTTGTGTTAAAATCCCTAGCCGATGCCAGAGTTGATGAGATTTAAACAAAAGACATGTCACTGCAAATATTAGATTCCTCGACATTTTCGTCTTCCTTCACCTATTTTCGCGTCCCCTTTATTATATGGTGCAGCAATCAATATATATATATATATATATATATATATATATATATATATATATATATATATATATCAGAGACAATTTCGAAGACTTTTTTACTTTAACATGTTTCACCGATGAACTGGCGTCATCAGAAAATTATTTTTATTTCACAAGACAACAAGTGATTCTTGTTGAGCAAACTGAAAGCTTGGTTTTTAATTTAATTTTCTTTACGGAAATTAAGTTTTAACTAACGTCAATTCACTTTTCATTTTCGTTATTTGTTTAGCTTTTCTTTAAGGTTTATTTGTATCCCACACTGTTACAGTATTAATTAATCAAGGACAGGCGATAAACTGGAATTTGCCGGCCGTATATTAATCGTAGGGGTACTCAAAAATCAGAACACTTTAAATGTAATTTATTGAAGTAAATTATATATTACTTATACGACAACTTCGTTTTCCTGGTTAAAAGTGTGATCACAGTGTTTTCGAGAGCATATTGGTTAATTTTAAGTACTTTTTATATTTGAATATCCTTTTCTTTAAATTTTTTAAAGCGTTTCACCCCAAGCAAGGCGGGAAGCCACTAGCACGCAAGGGGTTACAGAGAATTGGAGCGAGAGTAAATAGGAGTGATAGAGGAAAGGATGAAGAGAAGGATAGGGGATAGATCAAGGTATCTGGAGACGTCGATTGACATTGCATTTGAATAGTTAGAGATTATAGCTATCAGGGAAACAAGAAATGGGGAGGAAGTTCCACATGCGAGAAGTGCGAGACATGAAGCTATTGGAGTAGAAGAGACGGCTACATTTAACAGTTTCGACAGTGAAAGGGTGAGAGAGAGATGACAGCTTAGTAGAACGCTTAAATTCATGAAGTCTGGGAACCAGCGAAAGTAGCTCATCGGAGCAGTTACCATGAAAGTATTTGTAAAAAAAGACAGAGGGAGGAGACGAAAAGTTTCTCAGATATATTTGGGGCGGGCATTTTTTGTTTCTATTTGGTAGACTTCTGCTTCTGGTATAAAAGGAACTCTCTAAAGTTAACCGTTTTTAAGTGTTTTTGGTGAATGTTTTTAAGCATTTCACTCCAGGCAAGGCGTGAGTGCCACTAACACACAAGGTGTTAGAGAGAGTGAGAGTAATGGCAAAGAGAAGGACAGGGAATTAGATTAAGGTATCTGAAGATGTCGATTAACATTGCATTTGAATAGTTGTAGATTGTAGCTATCAGTGAAGCAAGTAATAGGAAGGGAAATCCACATACTGGAGGTGCGAGATATGAAGCTATTGGAGTAGAAGAAACGGCTACATTTAACCATTTCAACAGTGAAAGGGTGGGACTGAGATGCCAACGTAGTAGCACGTTTAAATTCATGCAGTTTGGGAACTAGCGAAAGTAGCACGTCGGTCAAGTTACCGTGAAAGTATTTGTAGAAAAGACAGAGGGAGGCGACGCACGTCTGCGAGAGAGCGACTGTAGACGAGATGCCATACTGATACTGAGATTAGCTAAATGTCTAATACAGATATTAAATTTCTAATAGTGATATCAGCTAAATTTCTTTTCCATTTTATTAATTATGAAGTTTGTTTCGTTTTTTATACAGCAAAGTACACCCTGTACAAGACCCGGGAGGCACTCGAAGTAGAGGGTTAAGTTAGGAGACAATTTATACGGATAATAGGGGAAGGTAACAGTTAACCCTAGAAATAAACAATATTGAGGAATCATCCTCTTGGTTGTCGGTTCACCGGAACAGTGTCTCGCGGGAAGAAGCTGTATGAGTTGAGCTTATTTCTCACCGATAGAATACAGAAGGAAGGTGGATGGTTTCCTACAATGTAAGTGGCATGGCAGGTTCTTGCCGTGAAGATTAGGTCAGACGGCACCAACGAACACTTGAAAGTAGAAAAAGTGAAAGTGAAAGTAGAGATAGACCAGCAAGAGGTTTGCCAAATCCCACCTGTGAGAGAGAAGTCAGAGGGTGGTAAATAATTTGCTAACCACAAGGACTTTGACTCGCCTTTAGACTCTATCGAGGCTGGAAAGTGTGGTTTGGGCATCTGCCGTTCAAATTATGACCAACAGTACTCTCTTCTTGGCTTGATCTGGCACTTGTAGCACTTGGAGTCAGGTACTTACTGTAGCGGTACTGTGGCCGAGTGGTTAGAACGATCGCATTGTGACCAGGAGACACGGGTTCGAATTTTACCATGGTCGATTTGTCAGGAAATAGACTTCCTGAGTCGATTCCAGCGTGCGGCACAGTTGGAAAGTGTCTGAAAACCATACCACGGGTTGACCCAAGCCTTGTGAAATTGGATAGATGTAACCCTTGGGGGCCGTCGATAGTTGTGCTAGCACGAAGTCACAAGTCATCGTGACTGAGGGCTTGAGCGCCCTGGACTTGTTCAAACTGTTGATTACGCTAGAAAACACGCTCTTTCCCAGAAACTAAAGTCTCATGGGAATTAAAAAATTGAATAATATTTAAAAATTGAATAAAACTTTATAGAGTCATCACACCTGCATTTGCCATATTCAGAATAAAACCGGGGACATTATATGTTTCGTCTTACCATATCAATAGTTTTTTTTGTTTCATATTACCTTTTTTTGAGGTCCAGACATTGACACATTTAAGTTAACCGTTTAAATGTGCCAATGTCTGGACCTCCTCAAGTAATTTTAAGTATGAAAGAATAGAAATTTTAAATTACATCTAACTCACTCATGTCTTCTCTCCCCCCTTCACTTCCTCACTTCGTTAATTTGCATATGCTTAATACGGCCCGTCAAAAATGTGTAAATTTCTTTTCATTTTTTGTTTCAACATTTGGAAGTAAAATCTGATGATCCGCAGTCCTTTAAAAGGGCTGTGGTGAAATAATTTATTACATGGAACCTTAAAGTGGTCTGTTTTTATTTAAATAATTTATTTAAATATATATATATATATATATATATATATATATATATATATATATATATTCTTAAGCGCCTTTTCTTTCTTCCTCTCTATTTGCTCGACATAGAGTCTATTTACTTTACCATTTAAAATCTATTTTTGTCTCTGGAAATACAGGTTTCGGTGTCAGCTTATGGATTGAATCCATTTGAAGTTTTCGCCATTAAACCAAATTAGTTTTCTACTTGACTGTCCAATATTAGTTTTTTAAAATTTAAACGAGCAATATATATATATATATATATATATATATATATATATATATATATATATATATATATATATATCAGTGTGTGTGTATGTATTACAGCAATTGGGTATAAATGTTAGGTCCCTCTTTTCATTTGCGTTCTAGTAGTCGCATGAAAGATATATATATATATATATATATATATATATATATATATATATATATATATATATATATATATCCAAATGAGAGAAAAAGATAAAATTCCTCTGTTCGTAGCATTTACTTTTAAAAAAGTGCTCAATACAAAGTAGAGTAATATATTATTATTATTTTTATTATCAGAAATTATAATAAAAACATTGAAATCGATGGACAAAAGCATAAAAAATATAAAAGGTAAAATATAAAATATGGATAAATGCAAAAGTACAATCACAGTATGTTTCAATACTATGATTGCACTTCTTCCGCCGATGATAAGTGACTGGTGATTAGTTAATTAACATCGGCTGAAGAAGTACAATCATTGACACCGTTGATTCTGATTCAGCAGAACTGGGTTGGGTGTGAAAAAGTATTTGTTGTTAACATTCTTTTTTCATTCGGTTTTTCCAGTTACGAGTCCTTTTTTTTTTAAAGCTGATCATTTTGTGTTCATTTTGTTTAGTTGTTTTTTCGTAACAGTTTTAATGCTTAGCATAGAGCTTACAAAAAATTCGCGCTGTGTAAGGCATGTAGCAACATCAGCACGGCAAAAGGCACTCCTTTAAAGGCAAGGAAGGGCAAAATATTTTAAGTCAAGTGATAGAGATTGCTGTATGAGTCGTACGATTTTTGAATCAAGCACGGGCAACGCCGGGTCATGCTGCTAGTAATAATATAAAAGAAGGTTACATTCTAGTCCCTACTCTCTTTACCATCTATTTGCTTGTAACTTTAGTTGAGGCTTTATATATATATATATATATATATATTGGCGCGTATCTTCCTTTGACAACAAATCTGAAGTTTAAATGTGTCATTTAAATTTTTCCAACTGATTATTCGTGAGCTCCGATATGCTACCGATATGCATGCGATAATGAACCATTTTTTTGGTGTCTTGTACTCTTTTCAGGTCAGACATAAATCTGAAAAACACAAAAAGTCATCTACTCGCCTTCACCTGAGATGCATTACACAGGGCCCAACATTCTTAATAACAGATCCAGGCTTTATTTATATTATTCGGACTATTGACCTCATCTTTGTTGCCATATTTATTACAACGTTTCGTTGTACGCTCCGGCCTTCTTCAGTTGGTTGGAATGTCGAACTGAACCCTTTATTTCGCTCACTGGGGTAGACTGTTCTAGTTCCACATGCCATGTTTAATGGATTTCAATTATCGGTTATCTCCTGTTAATTCCTCTCTGAAAGTTCTCCACTGCCTTAACCAGGTATTGAACTCACACGCTTTGGCTCTTGTCACTGGATAT